GTGGGGATGGGACTGGGGCGGGAGTCCCGGCAGGAGAACTTGCGGTCAGGACTCGTGGGTGATGTTCCCCCTGGCAGCCATAAGGATGTCGTGGGACTGTAAGAGGATCACAGCCGTCCCTGGCTGCGTGCATGCTCCTGTGGGCCTGATCCAAAGGCAGACATTTCTCCATGGAATTATTTCCGCTTTCCTGCTTTATGCCCAATTTTCAGGCTGTGCCCAGCCCTCAAAGCCTGACAGCTCTGCAGGAGGGATTTGTCACAGTGGGAAAAAGCCTGTTGGGACTGCCACTGGCTGGGATGTGGCTGTCCCTTGTCACATCCCACAGAGAAGCTCATGGCCGTGCCGGCCAGGCTGGGCTGCTGGTGGCTTTGGAACAGTGCCTTTGGTTCCCAGACTCCACTCCCCTTCCCACAGCCATAGGTTTCCTCCTCACCCTTGCTCCTAGCAGTGCCAATTTGACCTCTACTCATCCTGCACTGGCTTCTGTGTTGATAGAGGTTTTTTTTATGTGGAGCTGGATTGGGATGCTTCAAAAATATTGCCACAAACTTCTAAAAAGTTACCTAAAAAGAGCTGGAGGCTTCGTAAGATGCTACCAGTCCCAACCTTCCCGCACCATATCCCAGCCCTGCTAATGGCTAGGATGTGCCAATACCTTCTCTTTCCGTTACCAGCAAAAGGGTTCTCACTTTTGGTGAGAAAAACCTTAAGGAAAGCGTGGAAGGGCACGGGCTGTTGCCCATTTTGGTGTGTGTTACTCAAAAATGAGTGAGAAGTTTGGATATTACAAAAAAACCCCACAATGGCTTTTGCTGATTTTTGCTCTCTTGCTCTGGGACAATTCCTCTGTGATCCCTGGGGTTGTATCAGTGGCCGAGGAGCAGAGTTTGACTCTTCCTAAATGGTTTATAGGATTTTTATCTTTCATTTAATCAAAAACCAAGAGGGGGAAAAATTCAAAGAAGTATTTGGTGTGGAAAAACAAAATATTCAGAACCCCTTAAGCTGGGCAGAGAGGGTCTCTTTGAGGGGATGGATGTTTTAAGGGGAATGAGAAGCGTCCAGCTGCTGGAGCTGGGCTGAGCTGGGCACTTTGGACATTTTGGGAAGGGAGTGTTGGTGTGATGCTCAGTGGTGTGTGGTGCCACAGGGTGTTTGGGGTGCAGGAGGTGGGCCATCAGCAGGGTCTGCCCTGCCTGTCACATCTTGCATGTCACCTTGAGCTGCCCAGCAAGGTGGGCACAGAGGTTTTGTGCTCCGTCACCCACTGCATTTTGGCACTAGGATAAAGGTGTCCCTGGATGCATAAAGTTTCAGCTGTGCGGGTTTCCCCTTGGTTTTCACCTGTTTTGAGCACAGAGATCTTGTCTTCAGCTTTCAGTTCTCTGGTCTTTTGTGAGTCTCTTTTTCCCCCCTGTTTTCTTTGAGCAACTTGATTAAGGATTGCTTAGAGGTGCCAGGAGGCAGCACGGGAAGGAAGGGGACTGGCATGTTTATCCCTGGAGAACTGGGGACAGTAGCAGTGCCCACATTAGTAGGAGTGGAGCAACGATTTGGGAAGGGGCTGCAGGGAACCCTCTCTTTGCCTGCTCCAGGAAGGAGCCGCTGGCAGTCAGGCTGCAGCTCCTTCCCAGCTCTCCCACTGAAAGAGCCCAAATTAGCTGAATCAACGATGCCCATGTTCAGCACCAAATGCCACAGAACCTGTTGCCAAGGCTGGAATTTCTCACTTGATCGGATTAACCTTTGTGTCCATGCAACCAACCACATACGTGTCACCAGCTGAGCTTTTGCCAGTTCTCAGAGCATGTGGGATGCATGCGATGTGCAGTCCCTGATCCCACACAGAAAGTCCCTGGGGGCACCTCAGAAAGAGCTGCTGGACCCTCATGTCCCACTTGTTGGTGGCATGGCTGGCAATCTGGCTATGCAGGAGATGCTCCCCTATTCCTCTGGGCATGGGAACAGGTGGAATGAGTCTGGATGCTCTGGGAATCGACTCTGTTGAGTTAAATGACGCTGAACATGATCTTGTGGGAGGAACTGGGAGTGACAACTCAAATCCATGTTTTGAAAAAGCCTGTGGGTGAGCATCAGCATCACGTCCCAGCCAGGGTATCAAGGCTGTAGTGGTCTGGGCAATCACTTCCCAAGGAGCTGATGCTCTCATTGTGAAGGTGTGGAGAACTTCTTTCCCCCAAATCCTTATGTGGCATCTCCCGGTGCAGCCCCCATCCTCTGACATGTCTTTGCTTGTGCTGTCGGGAAGGGAAGAAAGAACCTGAAGCCAGAGACAAAGGCAGTCATTCCGTGGGCTTCTTCCTGGCACCACCAAACGGAGGGGTGTCTTGCTGCCACTTCCTTCAGGAGCGAGAGTGGGCCTTCTGCGATAATTCCTGATGTTCATTATTTATAGAGAAGCCAAATTGAATTATTAATACAGAAAATTCAGATAACATTAACAATTCTCAGTTTATAACGGTTTCCCATTAATAAGGAAAATTGGAAATTTATCACTACATCTGTTCATTAAAACTCACTATTTTTTTTTTTTTTGTGCTTTTGGTGTCTTAAATGAAAGCAGAGAAATAAACGAAGAGGGAAGGCCATTTATTCACTACTTCTCTGGGCAAAGTCAGCCCATAATTTTTAATAAAGTCTTTGCTGTTGTACGTGGAGGGGAAGCCAGGCTGTAATGAAAGCGGCTTTCCAGCCATGTCTGTGGCGTTCCTTGACCGTAGAACAAATACTCAGAAGCACGTCTCATTTCTTCTCTTTGTGGGAATCTTCAAGCTGCGTGATAGTTTGCTTGTTTCCCTCCCTCCCCAGCAGCTCTCCTTGCTTTCACCATGTGTTGTTCCCGGCTCCGAGGAATGAATTTTAACGCCTCCCCTGCTTCTTTCAGAGATGGCGGATTCCTATACCTGCAAAGGTGGAAAGAAAGCTGCAGGCTCTAACAAACCTGCTGCCAGCAAAGAAAGCAGGACAGAGACAAGGATAAACCCACCAGCAGAGCTGCCCAAGCTGGGTAAGGAACTGGTTTGTGCTTTCTATGGAGGCAGATGGGGCGGAGGGGATGAACCCAGTGGCAGGGGTTGGGAAGTGGCTGCCAAAACAAGGGGGTGTGGATGCACTGGGTCTTGGGGTGTCTCTTTCTCACTTTGACCCACCAGCAAGAGCTGTGCTGGCCAAAAAAGCCCCAGGTCCTGGGATCTGTAGGGAGCTGGTCCTTGGGAGCGGGAGAGGAGGGATGGAGGTGGTCTCTCCCTTCGGAGAGGCGTGTGTCTGGCTTAACGAGATGGGTGTCTCGCCGCCTATTTATCGTGTTGGTAGCTAAGTGTTACATCAAAGGATGGAAAGGCTTAAATGAGTTCAGACCATCTGCTGCCTCCCGTGTCGCGGCCCCCGGGATGGAGGCTTGCGAGCGTATGAGCCCCGGGGGACCCTCACGCTAAGGGCTGTCACGCTGATGGATGGCTGATTTCTCTATCCAGGAATCTCCAGGCTCAAGGAGATTTTTTTTTCTTCTGTCTGTTTATTCTGGGCAGATCCCCTCTGCAAGAGGCTCTCACTGCCTTTACCTTGCTAACAGCAGCCCCAGACACCGAGGGGTGCCTGCACCGCAGGAGAGGGTTGGACCCCAGCGATGTATCTCAGACCAGGCTCCCAGAATCAGTGGCCTTGTGGGGAAATGCATGTGCCCTAAATGTTTCCCAGATGCCACTCTTACCTTGAGGGGATTGAAGCCATAATTACTAGCAGAGGAGGATAATTTATTGCTAAGGGGAATGAACTCCAGCTGTCCACAGCGTGAACGCGCCTGTGTTCAGGAGAGCGTTTTTCCCTGTGCCACATCTTATCAGCACTTCAGTTGCAGAGGAGCTGGCCTTGCCTTCCAAAGGGGAATCTCCATCCTTGCCAGGGCAGGGAGTGGCAGCCCAGAGCTGAGGGCTGGGCACCAGGATTGCCAGGACAGCAGCTCCTCCAGCACGGCTGGTGATGTGTGCTCCATCTGTTTGCAGAAAATGCGACCAGTGACAAAACTGAAGGCAGGAAGAAAGGACGACCCAAGGCCGAGAATCAGGCACTGAAAGACATCCCTGTAAGACCCCTCCCCACCCCAGTGCCCCTCCCTGCTTTGCTCCCTCTGACTTACCCTGCACCGCATGCTCCAGCCAGCCCCACTCTGGGGTTAAACCTGCCTTCCTGGTGGTTTAATCTTCAGAGCAGCCTTGTCTTGGGCTGAGCAAGATCTTGTCCCCTCAACCCCTCCATGCAGGCATCCTCCAAAACAATGGTTAGAGAATGGTACTTCCCTCCAGCCTCACCTTCCCAGGGCCATGCCCAGGTGAGCCACATCCTGTCACAACCGTGTCAGATTTGGCTAATGATCCAACAGCAATGGCAAAGGGGTGATTTATTCCCTGCAGGGTTGTGCAGTTTAATTCCTGCCCGTTAGCATGGACAACACACAGAGCAGTTTGTCATGAGAGCACGGGCATGGGGTGATTTACAGACTAGATGAAATGTGGGGTGATTAAATCACCCGGGCAACTTCAGGCCTGATTTATTCCCCAGCCTGGCAGGGAGTGTGTGTGTGCTCTGGGAGGCACAGCAAGGTAAATCCCTGGGAGGAATCATTAGCCTGTAGAGCCTGCAGCATCTATCCCAGCACCTCTCACTGGGAGCATCACTGCACTGAAACACACCCCTGGGTCCACTTTGTGGCTATGTTGTGGGAAGGGATTGGATGTGAATGGTCAGAGGTCCCATGTGCCCTCCAGGCCCCCTTGGGATACACTGGTACACAGCTGGGCACACGGTGCTCTGAACTCAGCTGTCTCTTGTCTCTCCTGTTCCCAGCTCCCCCTGATGAATCAGTGGAAGGATGAATTCAAAGCCCACTCCAGGGTGAAATGTCCCAATTCAGGCTGCTGGCTGGAGTTCCCCAGCATTTATGGCTTGAAGTACCACTATCAGCGCTGCCAAGGGGTAAGCAGACCAGAGAACTGCCTGTCCTTTCCAGTGGCCAGCTCTTCCATTACCATCTGCAGGCCAAAGCCACTCTCAGACCTTAAAACCCAGGAGAAACGTGAGGTTAAAATGGGGAAATGGGGAGGGCAGAGATGGGCCAGGAGCAGTTCATGAGGTATGTACAAGAAGGACTGGGGTCCCTGCGGCTCAGCGTGAGGTCTGGCCCAGGGGGACTGTGGACCCTTGATAACTGTTTGGAGGGGCAGAAGGGTATTGCACAGGGTTTGTGTTCGTGTCCATGCCAGAAAAAGCCTGTCTCTTTTATGATCTAGCATCCGTGCTCACCTACCTCTCCCTGCTCTGCACAGGGTGCGATCTCGGAGAAGCTGACCTACTCGTGCTCGTACTGTGAAGCTGCCTTCACCTCCAAAACCCAGCTGGAAAAGCATCGGCTCTGGAATCACTTGGACCGGCCAGTGCCAACCAGCAAAGCAGAAAACAAAGTTCCCAAGGCCATTGGGAAGAGCAGTGGAAAGAAAAGGTGCCAGGCTGTGGCTGGGCTGCATGGCAGTGGCATAGGGATGGCTGGGAGAAGGGGAACGTGCCTGCCTCCGTTCCTATGACCTGGGCTGGAGAGGGGGGAGAGGTCTCAGGACACTTGTCTAACGACCCCTCTTTAAACAAGTCTTCTGTGCTTTGCCCTAGAGCTGCTGAGAGTTCAGCTTGCCCCACCATCCATCCCAAACAGCCAAAGACGGAAAAAGCTGTGGCCCAGGAGCACACGGAGAATGGCGAGTGCCCGGCGGAGAGCCGGGAGAGCAAGGAGTTCCAGATCGCAGCGGCCGAGGCGATGGCGGCCGCCACCCCCACGGCCAAGTCCTCGAGCGGGAAGGACGCCGGGCAGCAGCGGGGCAGCCAGGCCTCGCTGCAGGAGGAAGACCCCGAGAGGATGAAGCACAGTAAGATTAGAGCCCGGGGCTACGCTGGCTCGGGAGCCCAAAGAAGTGTCCCACAGGAAGGGGCTCTGCTCCTGCCAACACTGCTGCAAGTACCTCTCTGAATCCAAGAGAGATCCAAGTCTTGATTTAACATCCTGATAGTTTCCCCTCACCTCAGCCCCAGTTTCCTGCAGTTTTACTGGGAGTTGAAACCTGGTTGTAGCTGTGGTAGAGATTATTCCTATAGGACCTGTGAGACTGGAAATGGATTGGATTCCTGGCCACGTAGCAAGCTGCCATGTCAGCCTGTCTATCTTCACTGAGTGTGGCAGGTTAAAGCAGGATGGTTCGGATAAACTCATTTTCCTTGAAGGATTGGAACAGCGTGAGGAAGCTCACTCTGTCCAGGGCCACTGCAGAGCTGGCAGACAGGGCCATGGTTGTCCCCATCACTGCATGGGGTTCCAGTGCTTGCAGCACCAAAGCAAACCACCACAGCCACTGTGGCTGCTGAGGTGTGGAAACTGCGTGGCTTTCAGCACTAGACAGAGCCACCACTTCCACTCATTGAACTAACCCTAAATAACACAGTTATCCTGGTTTTAGGGGGTGGGAAGCAGCAACCTGTTGGTGTTTGGTAGGTGGGTGCTTCATCCTGATCCACTCCTGACACAGAGTGTGTGCTCACTCCATGCCCCAGAACTGATGAATCCCCCTGGCAGTACAGTTATTTGACCAAATCTCTCTCTCTGCTTCTCTCTTTTGAGTCAGGAAGGAAACAGAAAACTCCTAAGAAGTTTACGGGGGAGCAGCCATCCATCTCGGGGACATTTGGACTGAAAGGTAATACAGGGACAACTCTGGTCAGCTGTAGGGTTGTACCTTCTCCCTGGGGCATTGCAGGGAAGCCCCTTCTCCAAGAACCCTCCCTGTGGTGGAGCCAGATGGAGCCTGAGGATATCACACTGGGAAAGCTGGTGCTTTCTACCATAAGAGTATCATAAAGAGAGTGGAAGGCAGCAGCAGAGCTGGGACTGATAACAACCCTGTCTGCTCTGTTCTGGAGCCTGGCGCTAGGAAATGAGGCAAGAGAGAGGAAAGGATCCAGGAATGTTCAGCTGTAACGCAAGAGTAACGAGCTGCTGACACAAGCGAGATATGAGAAACATCGTTTCATCATCGTCCCACCATCCTGGGATGTCGCAGTGTTTCCAGTGGCATCGGGAAGGATTTCTGCTGCGTAGAAAGGCTGGTGACGCACCCACCCCTCAGACACCATCCCCACTGCTGGTCGCCCACATTGAAGGGAATGAATCCAAGGGAGAAGAGACGTGTGTTGCTGGGATGTTTTCTGAGAGGGAGCTCAGGAATTTGCTGCTGCAGCCTGACAAAGCAAGAGCAAGTGGGACTGTGGTCATGCTCCAGCAGGGCTGGGAAGGAGGGGGAAATCCTGGAGCATCCCTGGTACGAGAGCAACTGGATTTAGTCTGGCTATGAAATACGTTCAGTCGGGGAAATAAAAAGCGGATTTCCAGGCACTGTGGGAGGCAGCACCTTCCAGTACGAGGCACTCGGGGGAGAGGCACTAATGGCTTTGAAGGAATTAAACATCAACGAGCAGGCTGGATGTGGTCTCTGTGATTTCCTTTCCCCTGGCTCCTGGGAAGTCTGGGCTTGTTTCCCTTAACTTCCCCGCAGAGGCACTGCCATAGATTGAAATGTCTGCGGTAGGTTCCTGGAGAACAAGGTGCCTCCATGACCTGCTGCCTCAGGTGGAGAGTGAAGAAGGGGCACGTGTTCCCCTGTGCCCCCCATGTTAGATGTGACAGTCACTTCCCAAAGACAAGGGTGCCCCAGCCCATCATGGGGTGCTGTCTCCATTCAGACCCTGGGTTTTCAGGAGGATGTGGACCCTCGTGGGGCAAGTGTGGATCTGACCCTGTCACTAACCACGTTGCCTCCAGCACCTTCTGTGGAAGCGCAGGCACAGGGCTGAACTGCACATGGATTTGGGGGGGGTGGACCCAGGGGAGTTAAACAGCTTTTCCAGTGCAGGAGCATCAGCAGGAACATCACTTTTATATCCTGAATTTGCTGTTCTAGTTCCCCCCTCCAGTTTCTTGCAAAACACCCTATTCCCTCCTCCCTGGCCTGTCTGCCTGGCTAAAGGCCTCCTACCTCACTTTGCCATGGTGTTTCCATAATTCCTAAACTGACTGGGTTGGGGGAAATGATGCTATTTATAAAACACCACGATCTGTTAGGATATTGCTTGTCATAATCATGGACCTGACCGTGCAGCCTTGGCAGACCTACAGCCAGCTCAGTGTCCCTGGGTTAGAGATTTTTTACCTGCTAAATGCAAGTTGCTCTGAAGGTATTAAAGCAAGTACTGAAGAAGCATCCTCTTTCTCTACAGGTCTTGTCAAAGCAGAGGACAAGGCAAAAGCCCACCGAGCCAAGAAGTTGGAGGGAAACACCAGTATGGAGGAGCTGAAAAAGAAATCTCCAGGAGTTGCTGTGAAGAAGGAAACTGCTGTGCACCTACCAGCAGGTGAGGCTGGAGGGTACAAAGCACAGGCAGCAGCTTTGTGTGCAGCTTAGCTGCTTTCACGTGCTCTGCTCAGTCCCCACCTTCACCTGCAGCTCATGGTCCCTGCACCCCTCCTGGCCCAGCGGGTTGTTTGCTAGGCCAGTTTTCTAGCAGGTTTGCCAGGAGAAGCAGCACAAAATCAGAAGTAGGAGCACACTTTTGAAGCGCAGCACAGATGTGGGAACGGCCACTGCTCCTAAAACATTAATGCAGGCACAGTTTACATCCTGAGGGGCACCTTACCTTCGCTTCACTGCCAGGTCAGCGCGATGGAAGTGCTGGGAGTTGAGAGCCAAGTTCCAGCTGGTTGCACTGTGACCACAGTTTGGGTCAGCATGTGGGATGATGGCATTTTTCTAACATCATCCCCATGAATGACACCAGTGCATAGCTCTAGGAATGATTGCTCCTTCTCTGAGATGCAGCCTACATCCCAGGCACAGGTTGCTTGCTTTCCCTGGGAGCTCTGACAGCAGGAGGAACGCAGGACGTGCAAGATAAACACAGCTGCAGTGCCTTACACTGCTTTCAAATTCAAATAAACGACTCTCTGATCTCACAGCCGTGCAAGAGCATCCAAATAAACAGACTTGGTGGATTTTATTCAGCCCAGGCTTCCCTTGCTGGAAGCCCAGCGCTGTTTTGCTGAGAACGCGACGTGAACTCTGGACCTGGGAGCAGGTTTTGGCCTCATGAATCTCTTATTTTAAGCTTTTTTTAAGCTGGCCACAGTCATTAAAATAAACAGATGCCTGGAAGCCAGCAGTCCCCTAGCTACCTCCATGTCTGCCGGGAAGAGGATTGCCAGGGAAGTTTTCCAGGCACACGTCCGGATGGAGCCAAGACGCTCACCTTTGTTTCGCTCCCGCTAATTGTTTCATTTGGCAGGGGGAAGTTATTGCAAGCAGGGCAAGATCAGGTGGCCAGGGGCATTATCCTTTTTTAACTCCCGGTGTGCAGGATACCAGCAGGGTTGGAAAGGTGAACCTCTTTTTCCCAGGTCAGCAGGTCTGGTAACTCCATGTGAAGTCACCCAGTGACCCAGTTTGCTCAGGCAGCTGCAGGAGTGTGGGGCAGGGAGAGCTTTTCAGCTTACCAAATCAAGGCTTAGACAGGGCAGTCCTCTGCCCAGCCAGTGTTACACCTCTCTCCTCTCCCTTTCCAGCAAACCCGGAGGACCAGTGGCAGCGGGAGATCAGCGAGAAGGGGGAAGTCTCCTGTCCAACCTGCAGTGTTATAACCAGGAAAACTATTGTGGGGCTCAAAAAGCACATGGATGTCTGCCAGAAAGTAAGGCCTTGCTTTATTCAATCAAACACACGGATTTTGGAGAGGAACGGATGTGTACATGTGCCATTCATGTGCATTGCTGCTCCTAAAACCAGTTCAGGGCTGTGTTTGGTAGAACACTTGCTGGTCAAGTTCAGATTGCTGGCTGCCTTGCATCAATTCAGAGGGATTTGGACACTGATTCTCAGCAATCCTGAATCCTTCTGTGGTCTGGGCCCCTGGCCCCAGTGTCTCTAGCAGAGTTAGGTATTTCTAGTAGCTAAACAAATAGTTTTAAGGCTGGAGGGATTGTTGGGATTGTCTCTAATCTGGCCTCCTCCAGAGCTCTGGCTGTGGGGTTTCACTGTGTGCTGTGCAGGCCAGATAAATTGTGGTTGCATGAGAGCACGTCTTGGGGAGACTTCGAGCCTGGATGTGCTCAGGCAGGCTGTCAGGATGCAGGAGTTCAGTAATGATACAGTGAAAAATTGTCTCTCTGCCACACCACCATCCATCAGAGCGCAGGATTACGTCTTCATCCGTCACCTGGTGCGGTGCAGAGCCGTCGCCACAGAAAGCCAACGTGGGATCGATGCCTCCTGCTTTGAAAATATATGGCTGGGCTTTGATTCCACATTCATTTTCTGTAAATGCTTCCCCAGCCTTTGCTTCACTATTTATATAGCAGTGGGAGGCTGCTCTCCCTTTCAAACCCTGCACTAGAGTGATGCTGGGCAGAATCCTGCCTGTTCTGATGTGCTCCTGGCCTCAGCAGAGTGGGGATCTGGACTGTCGCTGGTCACACCTGCCCTGTGGAGCATCTCCCAAGCCAAGTTGGCTCCATGTGGGATGCATGGCTGGATGACCTGCCGAGCATGGCTCTGCTGGAGCAGTCAGTGGTGTCTTCCCTGCAAATAGACCAGCAGGTGTTCAGCCAAGGAATCAGGGCTCCAGCCCTTGGAGGGAGTGTTCTGTCATCCTCCTGGGAGGGACAGTCCTTGCCGGGGCTGGCTGTGCTGCTCAGGCAGCTGGGATGCTCTCAGAATCCCAGCCCAGGCAGGACAGTCCCCAAGCTTCAGGTGTGTAACCACAGGTCCAGCTTGAAGCATTCCATCCCTGAAATGAACCTGTGGCATGTCCTTAGTGAGGCCACACTGCTACAGGCACATGTGATCCCCATCAGAAGCCACCCTGGAGTGCAGGCATCCTCTGGGCTTGCTCTCTGCTTTAATGACTGGTAATGGGGAAAGGATGTGCAGGATCCCAAAACTCTTATAAAAAATGAAAATTGGTTTATCTGTTTGTTGCTTGTCACCAAGCAGTGTCCACCTGTTTCCTTTGGTTTTGGAAAGGAAATAAAGGATGGGGAGGGTTGCAACATGCTTGGGCCTGAAAGAGACAAGGGCAGGTATATTCTCCTGGTGTCCTAGGTGGGAGGGCTTGTTGGAATGTGGACATAGCATGTGCTAAATTGCTGACCAGAAGAGTAAACCCCAAATTGACTGTCATTGGCATCTGATGGGTCAGGGAGCTGTTAGTGTCCACCTTGTTAGGATCAAGTGCTTGGGTCTGGAACAAGATTGACTGCTGGGAGCACAGGTACCAGTGAGTCACTCCCAGCTGGCTGCAGTGAGTTTATTCTTCATTTCCCCAGAGCTCCAGGATTAGGAGGGATTTGCAGCTCTGTCTTCATTCTCTCTTCAGCTTTCAGTCCAGGCTTCTTTGAAGGGGAAGTGGTGAAGGTGAAGCACCAGGTGGGAGAAGCAGGAATGCCATCCAGACACTGGCTCCTTGTCATTCGCCTCCTCAGTCAGTAAATTCTGGTCCCTGCCCCAGCAAAAGTCAAAATCTGTTCATGCAGTCTGCAAGTGCCCCTTGTAGCTCAGGGTGTGCAGATAATGCATCTCCCCAGGCACTCAGGAGGCCGAGTTGGGTCAAACAGCAGAGCAGTATGAGGTAGGAAGGATTCTGCTCAGATTATGTCCATCATTTCATGCAGCCCAGGCACCCAGAAAGTGCACTGCACACCAGCATCTGTCTTAGTTAACAGGGCTGCAGAGCACAGTCCGCTGACATATTGGTAGATCAAAGCTTCTTCTCTTTCCTAACCCTTTAACAGGAAGACCAAGACACCAGGTCCAGATGTTTCCAGCCAGTGAGGCTTTAAATCTACATCCAAAGTGGAATGTTTTCCAAAAATTGGGACATATGGGTTTGATAACAATATGCAGGACAACAGAGAGAAAGCTTGGACCTGCAGGAAGGGATGGGGAGGCTGTGTTGGCTGCTGGGTCCCACCACTGGGTATTGCTGCAGCAACAGCCACCCACAGGGTTGTTCACAGGCAGCAGCAGCCCTTGGGAGGATGAAGGGTGGGCTGTGGCCTCCCTGGTGACATGTCTTTAATTCCTTCAGCTGCAGGATGCCTTGAAGTGTCAGCACTGCAAAAAGCAGTTCAAGTCTAAAGCTGGGCTGAATTACCACACCATGGCTGAACACGTCAGCAAGGTAGGGGAGGTGGGCTGTGCTTGTCTTGTGCCTTGTTTCTCCATGCAGATGCAGAAGATGAAGCCATTGGCAGTCCTATTTACATGATCCTTGTAAAGGAGGCATCACAGCACCATCTTTACAGCATTTCACACACTGCTCAGCCCAGACAGCGGCCTTCCCCCTTCCCTGCCAAGCAAAGCTTTCCCTTCCCTGGTAGTGAGTTAGGCTCATGTTGATTTTGATAAGTAGAGCAGAAGACTGAAAAAATAAAACAGGATTTCAGATCCCAGCATGGGGGAAGATTCGGTGAGTACGGTGAGGTGGATTTTGAGTGGCAAAGCTCTGCCTCCAAAACCGTGCCCACAAATCTGGGACTGATGGGTTCTGCCTTGCACGAATCTCAAAATCTGGTCTTTAGCTCTCCACCGTGCATGGGAGAAGCAGCCACAAAATTTATCATTAATAAAATTTTTCAGGCATCAGTTTAGATGCTATTCTAAAAATCTGGTCATGTGCATCTCCGGGATACCAGGGCAAGGCATAACCACATATTTACAAGTCCCATGCTTACCAGTTGTGACTTGTCTTTTACCTGTGCCTTAATCTCCTGCTCTTCAGTTTGGCTGGTGAATCCTCCGTGCAGGAACTGCTCCTGGGTTTCTCAGCTGACCCTTTGGGTGTAAACACAGGAAAAGCAGGAGCAGATCCACCACATAACAGCAAAGCAGTGGAAGATCCAGCTCTCCTCAGGAGAGGTTCCCTCCGGCCCAGGGCAGCTCCTGAGAGGCAGGGGTTTACCACCCACTCCTGGCACAGAGGACATGAATAAATGGTTGACTCTGTTGCTTCTGTTACTTCCTTGTTTCCAGCCTGTTCCTGTGGAAACCACTGGACTTGGTGAACAGGAAGAGCGGGAAAGGCTGAGGAAAGTGCTAAAGCAGATGGGAAAACTGAAATGCCCCAATGAGGTACGAGAAAGATTCCTGTTTCTCGTTCTATGAGAAGGTGGAAGGAGTGAGTCCCGTGCAGAGGGGGACATGGCATTCTCCAGAGGGACGTGCGCTCTCCAGGCATCCCTTGGCACGCGCTCGACATTTCCACCTTAGCTCAGCCATCCCAGTCCCCATCCCCCTGGCTCTGGGTGCTCTGGCGACAGGCCAGCCTGGCAGGAGGGTGGGCACAGGGCAGGCTGAGGAGCACTGGAGAGCAGGCTCTGCCTCCTGAAGTCAGGAAGGGGCACAGCCAGCACTGTCCCGGGCACAGCATAAAACCAAAGCAAACCACTCCGAAAACAGTGCCGAGCTGGTTGCAGACAAGTCACGAACAGGTAAGGGGGGGGGTGTGGCAGAGGTTTGTCCCATGGATGCTTTGCTCTCCGTGCAGGCAGTGCCTCCTCAATGCCTTCCCCTCCCACTGCCCACCATGTGTCTGTCTGGAGAGCTCTGTCCATGTGGTGGGGGCAGGGAGTGCCAGGGGCAGAGGCTGCTTCCCCCGTCCCTCCAGGACACTGTTGTGTGTCTTTGGGATTGTCAAATCCCCCATCACTCGGATGGGATGGGTTGGTGAGTCCACTCTGTGGAGTGGGCTCCTCAGGAATATTCCTTCCTGGAGCAACAGCATCCCAACCTTTTGGAAATGGGCACATGAAGCCCCAGCCCTCCTTAACCTTTCCCTTCTCCCCATCTCCATAGGGCTGCGTGGCCAACTTCTCCAGCCTGATGGGTTACCAGTACCACCAGAAGCGGTGTGGGAAGCAGCTCACTGAGGCCGACAAGCCTGTTTTCAGCTGTCCACACTGCAGCAAGAAGTACAAATCCAAGGCTGGCCACGACTACCATGTGCGGTCAGAACACACGGCCTCGGTGAGCCCCCCGGATGCTTCCGCAGCCCGAGGAGCCGGGCCACCTCCCCCTGGGGGGGACTGCAGAGCTGCTGTGGAGCCCGTGGGCAGGACAGAGCCGGGCAGGGCCGGGCCGGGCAAGGCAGGTGCAGACGTCGGGCTGATGTTGTTTTGTCCCTCACATCACCACACACGTGTTGTACCCTGCGATGTTGGGGGGAACAGGCTGGAGGCCCCTCTGCCCCTCCAGAAAGGCAGGATGCTGTGTTTACAGGAGCGGAGCAATCGTCAGTGTTCTCTTTCCCCAGTGCCCACTGGGCTGTGCTCCAGCCCACCCTGCATCCGTGCTCTGCAGGGAAAAAAAACAGAGCTCAGGCCACTCCCTCACAAGCACCAGCTGCTTGCCAGCGCTGGGGTGGCAGGATCTGTCCCTGGGGAGCATCTCTTTCTGTTCTGTTGATCCCTCCTGACAGTGCATCCAACGCTAATCACTTCCTAACTCTAATAACTGGAGACATTTACACACGCGGGACACAGTCGGTCTGTCTCCTGGCTGGCTGCTGGGCTGAGGGGGTGGGTGCTCCCTTCATTCCAGTGCTCTGGCACAGAGACACAAAGCGGGTCTGGAAACACACAGCCCAAATCCCAGCATCCCCATCCTGGGGCCGGAGAGCTCGCCTGTTCTCTTGTCATGCCCTTCCTGACTCTGTCTCTCTTGCAGCCTCCGGAGGAGCCAGAGGTGAAGCAGGAGCCTGCTCCCATAGAAGATTTCGAGAGGACCCCGAGCGGCCGCATCCGTCGGACGTCGGCCCAAGTAGCCGTCTTTCACCTCCAGGAGATAGCAGAGGATGAGCTCGCCAGGGATTGGACCAAGCGGAGGATGAAGGATGACCTGGTGCCTGAAACGAAGCGGGTGAGCAGCCTTTAGTTCTCCTTTTGTTTGTACACAGAGATCCCGGGATGCTAGCCTGGCCCCAGCTGCACATGGAGATCCTGGGATGATTGCCTGGCCCCAGCTGTACACAGAGATCCCAGGATGATTGCCTGGCCCCAGATGGCTGAGGGCTCACGTGTCTCCCTTGCTGTGTCTTAAATTAATTAGCTGTGATGGCAGATTTATTGCTGAAGAGCCCACCCAGCACAGGCTGAGCCCCTGTGGTCTGGAGGCTCCCAGCTGCAGACAGCTTTGCCCTTTCCCACTGGGTGGAATGGAGCAAAGGGTGGTGCTTTGGGGAGAAATCGGAGTCCAGCCCAGAGGATGTTGTTTGTGGAGCAGGGTCAGTTCTGGTCCGTGCTGGCAGCCAAGAGGAGCATGTGAAGAGAGCAGAGATCAAACCTGAAATGATCTCTCTTGCACTGTCAGAGAGCAAAGATGCTCCAGGCAGAATTCCCTCCCTTCACATCTCTTCCTTAACTTCTGGGAGATGCTTTTCTGGAGGTGAAGGGCCTGCAGCATCCCAGAGCAGTGCTGCTGCGAGCAGAGGAAGGTGGAGAGTGGAGGCAGGGCTGAGCTGAGCTCCAGCAGCGATGCACTCGTGGCCCGATGCTGTGGGGTCTGCATGGGGCTCCAGGAGGTTTGAGCTTTGTGTAGGCATTGGTTAAACCAAACCTCCCTCGTGGCTATAGGAAGAAGTGATTATTCCTGGGAGCATCCCAAAGCTGAAATTCCCTCCAGGTGCACTCCTTCTGGACTGTAAAAGGAATGAAGCAGCAGCAAATCGTAAGCCTTTTCAGTGTAAAAGAGGAAAAAAGAGAGGGAACCAGGGTATTTTCGTCTGCCAGAACTCGATGCAGAGCCATCTTGCAAGTCTCTGTTTGAGCTGCAGCCTGTTTCCTGAGCAGGCAATTTTGCAGTTGGGTGCCAGGTCTATTCCTTGCTCTGAACAGTTGGGTATCTCTTGTCCAGAGCTCCAAAATTCGCGCTAGGCAGAATATTGGGCACATTGCAAAGATGGGAGTGAGGATCAGAGGGCATCAGGAGAGCATAGTCCTGCAGAGACCCAGAGGAGCTCAGCCTGGCTCAGATCCCAGTCTGCACGTGGCAGGCAGCTGGAAAACCAGCACAGAAACAAACCAGCAGCTTCTTTACCCACCTTGGCATCCTGGTGAGGCACTGGCACAGAAGGGGATCCAACCACAATGCTGCCACAGAGCAGAGCTGGGGGTTCTAGGGCCAGAACTGGTTGCAAAGTTTTTATTTCCCCACTGCTTGGTGTTGCCATTGTTGGTTTCCAGATGACTTCAGCTGCAATGCATTTGTAACATAAAAAAATCAAGCCCAAAGTAGCTGTTTCATTTCAAATACTGCATGAGGAGAGGTGTGCTGCTCTCTTCTCCCCCCTCCAGCCTCAGCTCTTTTGTTCCTCTCTTTCCTTTTGGAATTGCTTCCCTTACTCATGACTTTGAATATTTTCTGTTTGAATTGAAGGAGCAGCCAGGACCCCAAGCCTGGACAAGGGACACATGTTCAGGCTGACATACAAAGGCATCGTAAAGGTCTCAGCACTGCTGTAATTGCTCCATGAAATGCTGGTGGGGTTTTTTTATGAGACATCTCTTGTGTTCAGAGTCTAATTGTTTGAGTTTAACTGAGCCCCATCTTGGTGCTAAAAAGCAAGGAATTGCTGTGAGGTTGGCAGAAGCAGTTTTGCATTGAGGATGGGCAAGGGGGGAGTTGGATCAGCTCCCAGGTGACAAAACAAGGATCGGGATCTCAGGCCCTGCATGAAATCCTCCATGGATTTTGGAGGAAATCAGTGCAGTGGGTGAATGCATACGTAGCTGTGTGTGTGCCTGTGGGTACATCTTGCAGTGGCTGTCACGTTCCCTTGACAACACTCCATAATCTGCTCAGTCTATGACATTTTTTCTCGACGAGCAGTGCTGGAAGGAGGTGGGAGGCAGGTTCTGCCTGGGGAGGCTGGTGGGAACTTGCTGACTTCAGCACACTCTGTGTTGCTCTGCTGAGCCGTCTCGCATTGCTCAGGACCCCTCTGGGTTTACAAGTTGCTTCAGTTCAGGGCGTGGAGAAAACCTCCCAGCTGTGAGCGCCTCAAACATGCCACCAAGTGCCCAGTCTGACCCTGTTACAGCCCCGAACAGCCCTTCCCTCAGAAGTGCCTTTAGCTGTGCTGGCAGGACAGCCCTGTGCCATGTGGGAGGCTTAGAGCAGCAGGCAGTGTCCCCATGTCCCCATGCCACTGCCCCACCGAGCGTGTGTGGTGTCTGTCCCCGAGGGAGCAGCAGGAAGAAAAACACCAGTTCACCGTGACCAGCGTGGCAGGACTGATGGGAAATGGTGGAATTCCCAGAAGAGCCGCCACACCACCACCTCTTCTTCCCTCTGAGCCTTACCCAGCCATTGGGAGTATGCTGCTGGGTCTGCAGACCCCCTCAGTGGACCTGGGGAGAGGTGGAAAGTCAGGGATTGGCAGCAGATTTCAGCTGCTCCTGCCTCTTGTCAGCAAGCCCTGGGGATTTCCGGGATTCCTGAGGGACAGATGAGTCCCAGCTCTGATCTGTAACCAGTGGTGGATGGATACACCCAAACGATGCAGCTCCATCCCTGAACTCTTTGAGTTCCACACCAGCGGTCCCAGCAGTCAACATGGATTCCAAGGAAGCTGATGAAGAAAGCCACCCCTCCTCTCCATCCCTTCTCCAGGCAGCAAAACTTTTTCCCAGGGGAAGGCACAGCTCCTCAGCAAGCCGATGGGATACAGAGGTTTGCAGCCTTCAGCAGGCACAGCCCCACTGCAGCCCCTGTGCTGTGGCCACGTGGCAGCTGGTCCCAGCCGGGGAGAGGGACGCTGGGTCTGGATCCCGTTGGTGGCCCATGGTGGGACGCGTTCGCCTTTCCCCGGGAGAATGGATTCCTTCACACCAAAGCAATGGCATTAGAATAAACGATTGCTGCTCGATCCCAGGCCCTGCGCTGCCTTCGGTCTGCGCTAACCAAATCCAGCATTTCTAAATATACACTGGAGTCTTATTTTCTCGCTCCGATCTTTATTTGCCTCCGGATAAGCTGAAACAGATGGGGTGTTTCACAACAGCCGCTTGCTGGGCTTGTCAGATGGGGAAGGGCACACCCCTGCTGCTTTTCTGGGAAAAATCCCCTCTGCAGAATCTCCGTGAAGATGCTGCCGACCCTCTGACCTTCCTCTGGCCTTTGCTGCCTGTGGGCAGCCTTGGGGCTGCCACAGAAGGAGTGAGAGGCTGCAGGGAACACCCAGCTTGGTGGCATAGGCAGGCAACGGTGGGCTCTGGGGATCTAGTGGGAGATAAGAAACAACCTCCTCGAGCAGAGGGAAGAGGAGGCAAGAGGGAAGAAAATGCCATGGAAATCCCACTGTTTCATGGTGTGATGCCTTCCTGGTGGCATTACTTGCTTCGAGGTGCTGGAGATGGTGTTGGGCTCCTGCAGCCCAGGCAGCCACGATCCTGCACAGGGAGGGATGCAGAGCTCCTCTGTGGGATGCAAGAACACCCCATTCACCTCCCCAGGGCTCAGGATGTGGTGCTGTTACGGGGCTGAGGGCAGCCGTGGATGCTGCACATCCCCATGGAGCCTGGATGCTGCGGGGTGCCAGGGGTTCAGAGCGAAGGACTGCTGTGGGCCAGTCATAAAACTAAAGGGGAAAAGGCTTGAGGTTTTATACTGGAACCAGGATAAATTCCGGAGCAGAAGAGGCTGGCTTGGGTTTATCCCCCAAAACAATGGCCCTGCGATCTGGGCGGGAGCCAGGCTGAGCCCTGCAGACTCGTGTCACTGGTGGGCCAAACCGGATCCCAGCTCCAGCTGCGGGGCCGAGTCCGCCCTTCCTCCCCTTGCTCGGCAGCGCTGGCGTGGTGTGACCCTCCTGTGGGACCTGGCTGCCATCCAACACCCTTGGGTGCATTTTGGCTTCACCTCCAAGACAGCATCACCCACAGCTTCCATGGGGCCCTGGGAGAGCCGTGCCTCGTGCTGGGGACCTGGGTGAGGCTTCCAGGGGCGCTCCTTGGCTGAGACATCCCACATGGTTCTCATTTACTGTGATATATTTTGGGGAAGGGGAGAGCTGTCTAAGGAGCAGAGAGGATTGAAATATGAAAGTTAATTAAATAAAACCGTCAGTCAAAGAAAACAAACCTTCCCAGCCCAGCATCCTTCGACTGTTCAGAAGAGATGGGCTGCAGCCAAAACCAGTTGTAGTCGTTTAATGATTTGGCCATGAAGATTTTCACTTACAGGCTGTTTGAGGAAAATAAATGGAAAAGAAAAAAAATATAAAATATTCCATGCCTGGGGCTCCCTCTTAATAGAGACATAAAGATGACTTTGACATTCCCAGAACCGCAGCGCCCCAGGAAGACATGGGATTTGCATGTTATTGTGCAGGGCTGTTGGAGGAGAGCAGGGAGGGATTTTTCTCTGGAGTGGGAAAGCAGAGCAGCAGAGTCCACATCTCTGAACATCCCCCCTCGCCTCCTCCCCGGGGACGTGCGGAGGGAGAGGTTGTTGCTGGGGCTGTGTGCGGTTACCATTAATGTTTGCTCATTCATGGGATTGATTGGGTTTTAATTATGGAGGCTGTTTGGCATCCCGGCTCTCAGTATCAATGGCTGAAAGGGACTCCTGTGTTCTCCCCTGGAGGTGACATTGCCTCCCCCGGGTGGGGGACCAAGCGCTTGGTAGATGCACCATCCCAGAGCTTCAAAGAGCTCTGTTGGCATCTCCCCCAGCCGCGAAGCACGACAGAATAGCAGCACGCTGGGGCTCGGGGGAGTTTTCCACATCCACATCCGTCTGTACCAGCGTTCGCGGCGCCGTTTCGCAAGGCCCTGTGCCCCTGCCCCTCTCATGGAGCCCAGCACTCCACGGGCTCCCTGCTCCGGCCGTGCCCTGCCACGTGCCAAGGGGAAGGCAGCAGGGGCACATGGATCACTCCAATTTGAGCGGAAATGAGCGGTTGGCATCTGAGCCCTCCACATCCCAAGCTTCCCTTTGCAGGGAGGTTTGGGAACAGCTGGGGGGAGCTGGACAAAGGCAGATTTGCAACTTTATCAGCATGTTCAGGAAAAGTCACAGCTGGAAAAGAAATCCAGCCAGCTTCCCGCTGCCTCTGAACCACCAGCCCCGGGTCCTCAGGGAACCTTTTAAAAACAGCTCCTGGGTTTGCACCTCTGCGAGCACTGTTTGGCTCTGCGTCCTCTCCATCCAGGGATGCAGCCATGGCCCATGCTCAGAGGTGCCCATGGAGAGTGGCACGTGCTCAGGTACCTACACCTGCACCGTGTCATCTGCGGGCTCACCCAGCACTCTCCCACTTGGGGCAAGTTTGGGGCTTGAGACCCAAACAACATCCATTGGCTCTGGCAGCGCTCACCGGGGTGGGCTGGGAGTCGTGCTGGCATGGCTGTGCAGGCTGGTGTCCCCTGCAGACCTTGGCACGGTGGCACAGTGTCAGGCAGGGACCAACCCCACAGGTAGGGCCAGGCACAGCGGCCAGGAGGCCCAGAGATGCCCGGAGCTGCAGCCTTGACTTGTGCTGAACATGCAGAACTGGGGTTGGGAAGGCCAACCCGCTATGCTAACCCTCAAAGTCGTTAATAAAGTGGTAATTAAAAGCACTTGGAAGGAGGAGCCCTGCCAGAAGGAGAGGCAGAGGCACAAGAGCCTTTCATTGTTTGACGAGTTGTGCCCATTCATCCATGGAAGGCAGCCATGGAGGCTCCTGGCATCGTCCCCTCTGCCCAGTGTGCAGGGTTGTTTATTCCCCTGGTTATGAAACACGGCAGAAGGGCTGTGCCGACACCGTGCACCGAAAACGCCGGGTCTGGGCCTGGCCCTGGTGCCAGCCATAGACCTGAGAGCAGGAGCAGGAGCCTCCCCTCTCCTGTTTGCTGGGGACTCCTCGCTGGTGGCACAGCAGAGGGCAGAGCCACCCCCATGGTCTGCAGTGCCCGGGGAGGGGAATGGCATCTCCGGGGGAAGCCTCACAAGTAGTTTTCAGCTCCGATTCACTTCGGATGGGGACAAGACCCGTGTGAAGAGGCAGGATTCCACCACAGACCAGGCTGGGGTGTGCAGCTCTGCTAATCCTCTGCTATTGTTCACAGCTCAATTACACCCGACCAGGGCTTCCAAAGCTCAATCCCAGGCTGCTGGAAAACTGGAAGAACGAAGTGAAGGAGAAGGGCCGCATCAACTGTCCCAACAATGTAAGGACTGTCTCTGTTCTGCCACAGGCCGGCTGGTCTCAGTCTGCAGGAGGAAGGGGGAGTTTCAGGGGCAGAAACCCACCAAAGCAGGTTCTCATTGGGCCTCAGATGACAGTGATATTCAGACACTCATTTCACCTCCTTTCCCTGGGCTTGCTGCCGTGCCTCATTAAAGCATGTCCCACCTTTGGGATCCTCCTGGTGTGCTCACCCTTGGGGACTGGGCCACTCTTGGGCTGATGGTTCAGCATTGCCCAGTTCAGGCTCTGGAGCTGCCTTTGGAAAGCAAGGCTCCAGACGGAGCAAAGGCTGTGCATCCTGTGCTCAGGAGCCTTTTAATGCAGAGAACCTGCTTTTCCCAGAGTTGAGCTGGGCTGGATTTAAGCCAAGCTTTTTAAAGCCTTGCGACAGGCAGCAACCTCAGGGCATGGTGCAGGCACTTCATCTCTCTGTGAAACACAGTCTTGGCCTGAGCTGGCAGGGAGGTGAACCCCACCCTGGTGCTGGGCCTGGATTTATCATCCCAAACAAAGCCTTGCTAATGGGAGTTCTGAAGGAGGCTGTTCCCACAAGGCCGGGGGAGCCGGGCTGGCTAATTAATGTCATACACAGGCACTTGAAAAAGACGTTGCTCAGAAACTGGTCATGCTGCTGCCCGGGTGATTTGTCCTCTCTGTTAAGCCTCCACTGTGGCTCCAAGAACTCCTGTAGCCCAGCAGGACCTCCCGACAGCTCACAAATGTACCGTTTTCCACGGAGACATTTAGGGGAGACGTTTTTCAGCCTGTTGCAGAGGGATGTGGCCACATGACTCCCATTAGCACTAATAGGAAACGTGTGACCAGAGCCCTCGGCGCCTCGCAGAGCATTAACCTCACACTGCTCAGCCTGGACCGGTGGCTGTGCTGGCTCAGCAGGCTCCTGGCCCTGGCTCAGAGGAAGGCAGATGAGGGGGATCGTGTCTAACCCTGCTTTGTTTCTTCCTGCAGTTCTGTGAAGCCATTTACTCCAGCGTCTCGGGGCTGAAAGCTCACCTGGCCAACTGCAACAAGGTAGGTCCCTCCTTTTACACCCTTGTCTCAGAGGTGTCTTTGGGGTTTGGTTTTCTCTTCCCCCCAGCTGCTTTGGAAGGGACAGGCCAAGAGACAATGCACAGGTTAAAGGATGGTGGCCACTGGCAGGGCTGGCCAGGCAGTGCTGCTCGCAGTGAGTTGTCAGCAGGCAGATGGAGGCAGAGAGGCTGGAGCAGAGCAGATGGGATGGAGGGGATGTAGCTGCCATCCCAACTGTGAAGCAGAGGTCCCATAACACAAACATCTCCCTCAAGAACCCAGGCCTCTAACACATGGAGTGTCTCAGGGACACAGCAGTGGGACCAAGCCATCCTGCCTCGTGTCCCCCCATCCCTCAGTAGCCCTTGCCCAGCTGGTTCCTGCAGCCCCCAAATCATTCATGAGCCCTTGACTACCCAACACTGCTGTTGCAGTGCCTCCTGGGATGAGCTGAGGCTGGAAGAGGTGGCCGGTCCATGCAGAGACCAATGCCCTCTTGCCTGAGGGAGCAGCCCTGAGCTCCAGTGGCCTGCAGCTGCCACAGGGGAGGGATTGGGAGCTCAGCGTAGGTCCTTCAAATTGGAACCAAGTAAGAGCTGCTAAAGCTTTATACCCCGAAACATTTCCAGCTGCAGCTTCCATTGAATGGAGCTTCCAGGAGGCAGCTCCAATCCATATCCCATGGTTATTAAAAACACCAACTCCTGCTCTCCTCCAGCACTAGCTGGAACAGCAGCCCTTAATGAGATCATTTAGAAAATGGGCTGCAGAGATCCAGCAGGAGAAGCTGGATTTATGCAGGATAAAAGAGCAAACACAGGAGACTGGGGCAGCTCCTTTGCTGTCCAAGAGAAAATGGAGCTGGTTTCTGGCTGGTTCCATGCACAGGAAGCAGCCAGGATCTGCATGAGCATTTCCATGAACTACAGAGCTGCACACTCGGTATCTGGCACAGCTGGGGCTGGGTGCTGGGGGTCAGCACTGGGGGAATTGCTGCTCTGTGGCCCCCACACTGCCATCAATTGGATTCTTCCCCTTACTGAGGATTTAGTTTGGATACATGTGCCACCAAATTGGGCATAAATAAATCACTACCCTTCCAGAGCTGACCTGTGATTCCTACTGTAAAATCCTGCAGAACTGGTTGCAATATGTCAAGCCTTAGTGAGAATGGAGGCTGCTCCCAGGCAGCACCTCATCCTCAGTGGGGATTGATGCACCAAGATGATTTTGCACGAGTATTCCTGAAGCCAGTCTGTAGTGAGGCCAGCCCTGCCCTCTCCTGAAATGAGAGACCCATCTAACTCCAGATTTACGGCTACAGAGAAATTCCCAGGGAGGAAATATATTGCCTGGAGGGGCCCATCCATAACCCCCTCGTCAAGAGAGAGCACATTATCTCCCGCATGCCGTGACCTGCAGCAGAGCCGGGAGATCCGTCATCCCACCAGGGCTCTGTTGACAGGAATCCAGCAGTCACTGTGGCTCTTTGACAGCGTAAAAGGAAAATTAGGTGAGTGTTGGACATAAATCTGATGGTGGTTCAGTCCCGGGAGATCACAGATCTGTCGACAGTGAGGACACAGGGCAGTGCCCCATCAGCCCCAGGACACACCTGATGTCGCTGGTGTTGCTGGGGACACACAGGCTGCAGCACGGGCTGAAGATCAGAGAGAAGATGTGGCTGTGAGCTCCTGGCCTGGCACCGAGGCCAGCAGAGATCTGGTGCTTTAGACACGAGTGTTTATTTTGTGTCACTTTGAGGTCACAGGGGACTCAGGGCCGGGCTGGGGCCGGTGGGGCCACCCCTCTGGGCCACTTTTGGCTCTGCAGGAGGCTGCTCTGTCTTGCAGGGAGACCACTTGGTGGGCAAGTACCGCTGCCTCCTGTGCCAGAAGGAGTTCAGCTCCGAGAGCGGCGTCAAGTACCACATCATCAAGGCTCACTCAGAGGTAAGGAAGCAGCTGGAGCTGGGCTGGGATGGTCCCTGCTCCGAAGTGCCCATCCTTGGGCTGTCCCTCTCCATCCATCCATCCATCTATCCATCCATCCATCTATCCATCCATCCATCCATCCATCCATCCATCCATCCATCCATGTCTGCCAAGAGCAGAGCTCAGCAGCAGCTCCCAGCAGCATCAGTGATGCTGTGACAGCCTGGGTGGGGGGGTGTTCCTTCCTATCCCCCTTGGTGTCCCCAAAACCCCCAGGCTGAGCACTTTGTCCTGGGGAGGTGATGCCAGCGGGGTGTGGGGCGGCCCCAGCTCGGGTTGTGTGTGCTGGTGCCAGTGCCTGGCCCCTGGACAGTCACTAACCCCGTGTCACCCCACGGACACAGAACTGGTTCCGAACCTCCTCAGAGGCCAGCCGGAAAAAGAAAAACAGGGAACAGCTTTCTTCCAGCAAAGAGGAGAAAAAGAAAAGCACAAACGGGAAGAAAAGAGGGAGGAAACCCAAGGAGAGGCCTCCAGAAATGTCTCCAAAGGGCAAAGAAAGCGTGGCAGCAAAGACTAATCACAAGAAAACCCTCGAGCACTGGGAAGGCTCCCGGGGCAGCCCCGAGGGGGATGAGCATGTCCCCAAGCCCCCAGGCCAGCGGAAGGGAGGAGCCAGCAAGATGCCTGAGAAATGAGCAGCTCAGAGACTCATGTCCAAGGATTCGTTTACAGCCCAGGGTAACAGGGTGGGGGTCTCTCCCGGTTTTATGTCCTCTCCTTCCCATTCCACCTCCCTTCCCCCCACCCTCCTCTCACCCTCTTTTTACAAAAAGAAAGGAAAAAAAGAAAAAAAAAAGACAGAAAATACCAATTAACCACTTTAAACAAGTCACGGACCTTGTTTCACACTGGAAAACAAACAGGATCAAGGAAGCTGGACCGTTCTCCACCCCCTGCCTCTGTACATACCCCTCGGTGGGACCCCGCTGCCTCCCCCAGCCCGTGATTCCCCTCCCCTGCGCCAAACTGGTGACTCTTGAGTGAAAGAGAAGTGCAATAGCAGCGGGTCCCGTGGATGGGGACCCTCTGCCAGCAGCTGCGTGCCGGGGCAGGGAGCTGCCTGCCTGCCTGGCAGCCTCCAGTGGGCCCCAGCCTTCCAGCTCCAGGGCAATGTTTCCAAAGATGTTTGACCTGGTCGGGCAGAGGGTCCAGCAGTGGATGCCGGGGGGGTCGGCAGCACTTTCCCTGCTGCCTCAGGTCGAGGGTTAGGGTTTGGCAGGGATCGGCTCCGTGGGGTGTCGGCTTTGCAGGGTTTGTCTCAGCGGCACAGGCAGAGGAGGGAACAGGGAACGTGGGCACGGAGTGTGACCAGGGCTGGGGGTACGGGGGGCGAGAGTGGGAGGTGGAACTGGTCGGGTTGGAGAGTTTAATGGAAGGTTGGGGGAATGTTGTGGGCACCGTGGAGCGGGGCAGTGCGACCAAGGAGGGGGCACGATGAGGGAGCTGTGCTCGGATTGTGTTTGCAAACGCAGCTGGCAGTGCCGGGGTCAGGGGGAGATGGCAGCCATCAACCTGCCCCCCCAGCCTGGGGGGGCATCCAAGGGTGGTTGAGAGTCCCATTGGCTCTATCCAATCACACTAAAGGGAGGAATGGGGTCTCGGTTCCCCAGTTGCAGCCGTGGGAGGTGTGTGATGGGGACAGGGGTAGCATCAAGTGACAATCACGGGTCCTGCTTTGGGGTGAGCCCGGCCGCTGCCCAGGCACCTCCCACTCCCCTCGTCCCTCGGGGCCGGGAGCCCCTGTAGGGGGAGTTCCTGCTCCCAAAGATGCATCTGAGCCCCCGATCATCCCCCTCGGGATGGGAGGTCCCTGTGGTGCCGTCCCTGCTTGTGCTCTTCCCCCCGGGCTCTTCTTTGCACCTGTGCTGACACGGTCATCACACCTCGCTCCAGCCCAGAGGGAACCCTCCCTGGACCAGGACGTATCCGTCTCCAGACAAAACCAGGCTACCTCGGTCCTTGGGAAACAGGCACGTTTCCTCTCGGTAACAGAACAGAAAACCTTAATTCAAATTTTTTCCCTATGAAGAGCCAGGAAAGTGGCATCGGAGCTTCTGCTATTGCTTTAATCAGTTCAAACCTCAATCCTCGCTTTCCCAGGAGTCGCTGCTCCTTGCTGCCCGCTAGAGGCTTGGTATCATTCCCTGGCTTCGAGCAGCGGCTCAGTCATAATTTTAACATCCTCCACTGGCAGGTTATTCCAGCCGGGCAGGGAGGGGGGATGGTGGTGGCTGAAGCCAGGGCTTCTCGGGGAGCCCGGTCTCCTGCTCTGTCCACGGCTCCAGCCCCTGGATCCACACTGCATTGCCCGGCGAGCTGGGCACGTGCCTGCGGATGAGGGAACGTGCTGGAGCGCTGCTGGCTGCGCCGGGCCTCGAGGCAATTAGTGAGAAAGCTTAATTAGTCACTGCGGCGCGGCCTGGTCGCTGCTTGCTCTTCACTGGATCTGTGTTTGGATGCTGTCACCGGGGCAGATCCTGCCTCCCCGGGGAAGGGGGAGAGCTCCAGGAGGTGTAGGATGTGTGTGCGTGGAGCTGCTCGCTCTTTGTCACGACAGGGACGTTGGGGTGCTGTCCTGGCAGTGGTGTTCTCTGGTGCTGAGCCCGTGTGCCCTTGTCAAAGCCACAATGGCTGGGAGGGCAGTGACCCCCCCTCATCCCAAGAGGGCATTTGGGAGGCACACTGGGGCTGCTGGGGAGGCCAGCAGCAGCAGGAAGGGGACAGCGGGCAGAGATGGGGACCTGGCACAGAAATCTCTGCAAAGGGGCAGAGGGAGCCACTGCATCCCAAAATCATGTCCCACCACCGAAGAAAGCCCTCGGGAAAGCTTCATGTCCTGACCCAGGGAGGGGTGACCCAGGTGGCCCAGACTGCTGGCTCAGATGGTCACCACACAATCCCCACCGCCTCCCCCCGGGCAGAGCCCAGGGCTCCATTCTCATTAATGTGCAATTAATTGGCTTCTCGTCGATTAAATTAAGAGGCAGCACTGTGCTGCATCTGGGGGGAGCCCTGGGAGCTGCTCAGGGCGAGGGAGACCCAGGAAGGGGCCGGCTTGGGGAGTTGTCAGGGAGTCCACATCAAAACCCAGTGTCTGCTTCCTTGACGAGAGTGTCTGCAAAGGAGCATCCTGAGAGGAGCAGGGACAGCTGTGGTGACCTCACAGAGTGACACCAGCCTGGAGGGGACCCAAGAGACCATCTGGGATCTTAGGGTCAGCAGTAGGAGCGGCAGTCCTGGTGCTGTCCCTGTCACCCTCAGACCTGGGAAACACACACAGCCCCGGTGAGGGGAGCACTGTGGTCAGTTGGGAATTTCCATGAGAAAATGAAATCTTCAAGGGTTTTTTTTTCCCCTTAAAAGGTGTTTTCCCCACTAGTCATCACTCAGAGAGGAACATGTTCCCCCACTTTCTCCATGAGACATCCTTAACTCTCCTGCTTGTCCAGGGAAGGTTCCAGAGCGATGCTGGGACTCCAGCAGCTGCCAGCGAGTGGGCAGGGCTGAGTGACACCACAGTGGCATTGCTGAGGCCAGCAGGTTGTGCCCCTTCAGGTGCTCCCAGTGAGGCAGCACCAGCTGGGAAACCACCTGGATCCAGAGGGATGGGCAGAGGCTGCAGGACCAGATGGGGGGACAAGGTGTCCTGTCCCTTTCTATCCCCTCATCTGCAAGGTTTGGGAGTTTTGTCACCCTGGGGACAGTGACACTGTGGTCCCACACCTCTGCTGTTGTGGAAACCCACCATCCCGTCACCCGTGTCCCCAAGGAAAGGGCTAAACCTCTGTGGGAGCAGGGATGGACTGCAACCCCATGGGAAGACCTCATGGAAAGCTACAGTCACGGGGGGCTGCTGTGGCTGAGGAACCCCTGGCACTGACACCACACCCCGGTGAGGGTGGGTGTGCTGTGCTGGCTCCAGGCGGGAAGGGAGGGCCAAATCCAGCCACTGTGGATGGAGCTGCCTGGGCCTGGAGCATCTCTCACACCCAGGAGCCTTGGGAGCGTTTTGTTCTTTTCTTTCTCTCCTCGTGACACCCATCCCACGGCATATCCGAATGTTTCTCGTCGATGCCAGTTATTAGTGCATAAGTGTATTTTGGGGAAAAAATGAAAACATTAAAAAAAAAATAGGAAAAAAAAAGAATTTTCAATTTATCACTTGTAACCATATATATAAATATATAAATATATATATTAAAAAGTGTTTATTTGCAAAAAATAAAATCGTTTTAACGGTAAACTATCTTATAATAAACTCCCGATTTGTGACGATCTGTTCTTTTGTTAATCATTGACAAATCCTCAGTTGGAGAGTACTGTCCGAGCAGCTCCGAGCAGCTGAGCCCCTGCGGAGGCGCTCCCTGTACTGTATGTATGAAACAGCTGTATCGAATAAATGGTTATTGATTTTTTATTAGCACTGCTGTCATCGTTATTTGGCAGTTCGGAGGGAGGGCTGGACATGGGATCCGATGGGTTTGGATTTGTCCTTCCTGAGGGGACCTCCCCGTCCACTGGGGTTTGAGCGCATGGTCCCTGGCCCAGGGGTGCGCCCAAAACCAGAATGGGAAGGCTGGGGAGAGTGAGGACTAGGGATGCTTCCTGCACCAGCACTTGGCACAGCCGGCAATCCTGGTGACAGGAGGATCTCCAGAGCCAGAGGATCCCTGGTGCCCACAGCCCAGTGCCCAGCTGCCCACGACTCCCCTATTTTAGGAGTAGAAATCCCCCTAAAGCTGCTCCCAATCCACCCAAGCCATCAGCAGCATCCAGTGTCTCCCAGCCCCAGGGGCCGCATCCAGCCCAGGACCTCTCCTCCCTAGGGAGCTCTGCAGGACCCGGGCCCCACCTCCCGGTCCTCCCAGCGTGGGAATAAATCCTCTTCTGCTCCCTAATGGTTTTATTGGCACCGAACCCAAGTCAGGGACAGATTTAGACTGATCTCCCTGCTGGCTGAGAATCCAGCCTTTCCCCACGGACGCTCTCGGCTCCCCAAAGGCAGGATGGGGACCCCAGAAGCAGCACTTGCCATGCCCCAAACATGTGGTACCACAAACCTCTGCTCTGGGGGACCCCAGACACAAGATGGGAGCACAATGCCAAAGAAAACCTGGGACCCCCACAGGGCTGGGGTCCCCCCAGCTTCTCCACTCCCCTGTGACCAGGTCAGGGCCTGGGACCACCCAAATCCTGCTGCCCCCAGTTCTGCTGGCAGCAGAAGGGGTGGGGGGAAAGGGGAGGGGGGTTTGCTTGGGCATGGGGTGCAGAGCTGCCCCACAGCACTCACCCATGATAACAGCACTTATTGCATCCCACAGCACCCACCCATGCCCAAAACACCCACCTGCACCCACTCGTGCCCAAAGCACCCACCTGCACCCCACAACCCCCCCCTTTGTGCCCTACAGCGCCCAGCCATGCTGAGATCACCCTGCAGTGCTCACCTGCACCCCACAGCTCCCACCCATGACCACAGCACCCACCTGTGCTGCAACACCCACCTGCATCCCACAGTGCCCACCTACCCCCCCCCAGCACCAACTCATGCCCAGAGCACCCACCACACACCCCGCATCACCCACCTCTACCCCACGCTACCACCTACCCCCCACAAGCACCCACCCGTGCTCCCACCACCGCACATCACCCAAATCACTCCTCGCTTCCCCCCTTCCCGCTCCTCCGGTCCCGCACTACAATTCCCGGGCATCCCCGCGCCAGCGCCGCCCCCGCCGCTCCCCGCCCGCTCCCGCCTCTCCCCGCAGCGCCATGGCCGCGGCCCCGGTGCCCGAGGGGGCTCCGGTGGAACCGCACGACAGGTAAGATCCTGCATTCTTTCCCCCGGGATAATCCCTCCGGGACGGACCGGCACCGCAGTGCCCGGAGCCGCCGGTTCCCCGTTCCCGCCGCGTCCGGGGCGTTGCGGTGCCGGTCCCGTCCCCCACGATGCCACTTCCGCGAGTGGGGCCTCCCCGAGCCCATCGCACCATTAAAACCCTTCGCCTTTCCCACCAACCACTATTTTTTCCCACCCCCACCTTATCCCTTCTTTATTTTCGTCCCCCCCCTTTTTTTTTCTTCGCGTGATCACCTTTCTCCTTATTTCCCTTATTTTATGGGTTTTGCCCTTAATTTCCCAGCAGATAAACCACAGCTCCCATTTTCCAAGCTTGCTGGTACATGCATCCCCTCCATCAAGCACGAGGAGTGGGACAACCTAAACTTTTACACCCAAAAACCCCATCCAGGGCAATTCTGACAACACACACACTCTCTCTCATGTTTTCCCTCCATTTTCCACCCCCTTTTCTATCTCAATCCTCAGGGGTTGAGG